AGCCCGGGGGACGGGGGGGGGGGGGGCGGAGCGCACCTGCGGCGTGATGATGGTGATGAAGTCGTCGAGCACGCGGTCGGTCTCAATGACGGCAGACTCAAACCAGTCCGACCCGGTCAGGTCGTTGGACAGGCGCTTGCCAACAGTGACAACCTGCAAGAGTATGTGCATGCGTGCGTGCGTTTGTGTGTTTGTTCGTGTGTGTATGTGTGCGTGCGTGCGTGTGTGTGTGTGTGTGTGTGTGTGTGTGTGTGCGCGCGCGCGTGTGTAGCAGTTGTGGGGGCTGAGCAGGAGGGAGAGAAGTGCGGACGCCACTTGCAGCAGGGCCGAGACGGCGGGCGATGGGACGCAGGGGAAGCCCCCGAAATGGGACGGGCCGCACTCGATGGCCATCCCACGCAAGCCTACAGGCAGCTCCCCGCGCCCTGTTCGCCGCTGCCGCCGGCGCGTGCGCACGGGCATGCCCGGCCTGCCACCACGCAAGGGCAGGGGCGCCGCGCTCGTCGCCTGGCGTCGGGTGCACCTTCTGATTGGCAAACGCGGGGATTTTCGCGACATCCGCGAACTGGATCCTGGCAGGGGAGTCCAGGGAGGGCGTGTAGCGGGCGAGAAGCGCGTCCATGCTGGGGGCGTTGACGGGGCGGATAAAGTACGTCTCGTCCACCACAACGTCGGCCTGTATAAGATTTGGTGATTGATTGTTTTTGGCGCTGTGCTTAGGTGGGATTCGGGTGCAGCGTTTGCTGGAGATGGGTGCATGCGGCGGCCGAGCAGGGCTCAACCGCACCCCACAGATTCTGGATATGCAGATTGGTGGTGCCATCGCGCCAGGTCGCAGTGTGAGGCGTTCGGCCAGCCGGCTGCACGCCTGCGGGAGTGCCCCGGCGCGGCACGCGCCACACCGCAGGGCGCGCCGTTAGACCTGCCGGCCCGCACCTGCGAGAGCACCTCCAGGAAAGCCTGCCTGGCCTTCATGGCGTCGGCCTTGGGGTTGATGGCGACGTTCTGAGAGGAATGGGGGTGCATTTGGGGTGGGGTGTGGAGTCGAGCAGTAGGGGCGGCATCGGTGCAATGCGCGGTGGAGCGTGGCACTGGCATAACGAGCGCCAACAACAGGGGGCAAGGAAGGGCCATCGGCTCGAGGCCGGCCAGTATCAGCATCGGGTTCCTGCTTTGTTCTCCTCTCCTTGGTCTGGGCATCCCAAGATGATGTGGGGCCGCAGAGTCTTGCAGGAGCTCGCCAGCTATCGGCGCACCTTGTACTGATCGTCGGCGGAGAAGAGCTCCTTGTCCACGATTGACTTGTCGTACTTGCCCAGCAGTGACTTGCCATCAAGGAGAACGCCACCGGCGTCCTGAATATCAGCATCCCCGATTGATTAGCGTCGACGTGTGTTGGGCGCGCAGGTTGGGTGTGTTGTTGAATAATTCCAGGGCCGGTGCCAGGCCCGCTGTTCATGCTTGGGGTGGGCAAGGCAGGCAGCAACGCAGCACATGCGCGACCCGAGACAGTGCCTGACGTAAGGAGGCGGGGCGAGCG